AATGTGTTTTGGGTGGCGCCTGCTGCCCCCGCGACCCGGTAACGGATAAGCGGATGAAAATGGATGGATGGAATTGCAGTTTATTCTATAAATAAATATTTATTTGAAAGTAGGTCTGGGGTCAATTGTTTTTAAATTGACTTCTTATGAAGCTGGTTCTCAACAGAAAGATGATTATCTGATTATCTGTGAGTCACTGTTCTAAGGTTTGGTAACATGATATTGTTTTTTAGACATTATTGTAATGTTTGTGGTGATGTCACTGAAAGTTTAACCTTTGTATCGAAAGGTTGAAAACTCTCCCATTGCAGCTGCACATAATAATTCTCTTTATTAACTGGTTTGTATAGTTCTGTGCTGTAAATAAATGAATGCTGTTTATACGTTAAAGGCTGAGACTTATGTGATGAAGGATTGTCCCTACTCTTGTGTGACATTTTTGATGGATTGTTTCACATAACCGGACTGGGCAGTGGTGGTTGGTTAAGGACGCAGACTTGGTTCTGGAAGGCTTCAGGTTTGAGTCCACCAGCTGCCATGTTATTCCTGTGGTGCTCTGAGCATGGCTCCATCCCCACACACTGCCCCCTGCTCCGTTGGGCACCCAACTTTGGTGATGGGTTAAAACCAGAGATCAAATTTTGTTCTGTGCAGTGATGTGCTGTGTCACAATGACATGTATTTCATCTTCACTTTTCATCTGCATTCAGATTCATTGCTGAATAATGATGATTTCACATTTATAATTCTAGAAATAATTGAAAAAATTAATATATTATTGTATTGTAGTGTATATTATATGTACATATATTATTTGGTAAAAATGTTGTTGTTACCATTAGATCACAGTTGATTCTACCACAATTCCATTTTCTATATGTTTGTGGACGCATAGACAGTTCCAGTACAATACATATTTGGAGGGTTATTGTTTTTCGATTGGACTAAAAATTGATTTATTTTTAATATTTTCATTTAATAATAAATGGAGTTGGCCAGCAGGGGGCGACAAAACACGTCTTAATTGGGCGTAAATCTGTTCCAGCTCGTACCTTCCTCCTCGTCACTCCTCATCGTCCTCCTGTTCTCCCTGTTTCCAGCAGTGCTGCTGCATTCGGTCTCCTCTCCATCACTGGACACTCCCCTCTCCCTCTGCTCCTCCTCACTGACCACTTACTCCTGAGGAGACCCTGAGTAAACACGGTAAGGACTTGTTTTTATTCGACGCCACGGAAGATGCGTTTTCTTTTTGTATGTTTCAACCCTAGTCTTAGCTCATGATTATTATATTGCGATTATTACACCACTGAATCATGTTAACAGAGGTTTCTGTAGTGTCGTTGTGTAACCTTTTTTTTTTAACGTCGTATTTTCATTCATATTCTCGTGCGTGTGTGTTCGTGTGAGGCATCTCTACACCTGTGTTGTTTTGGCGCAGTATCTGAGGTCTGCTTTTTTTTTTTTTTTTCACTGCTGGAGTATCGCAGGTACAAACTCCCTCCATGTTGTTAACACTTAACACTAAAAAAGAGGAAGAATGCTGCTCGTGCTGCATTTGCAAATAACGCAGAGTCAGACTTGTGTGGTTTCACTGCCTTCAGTTAAGACCCCAGTGTGGGTATGTTATGTAAGGTGTGACGGTAAGAACCATCATGTGTTGGAGCTTCCACACCCACCCACCCAGGCCTGGGTACAGTGATAGAGATGCATTGTGGGAATAAATACACCGACCACCGCTAATCACACACCTCTAAGACTGTGGTCCATGTCGGCGCTGTCTACAGATTAACCTGCTGCACATCCACGATGAATAGTAACTGTTTTCACCTCATGAGCCACACACACACAGAGAGAGAGACAGAGGCGGGTTAGTGCTCCAGCCTTACAGCCAAAAGATCAGTGGTTTGATCCTGGTGGTAGCTGATCTTTTTGCATGGACTTCCTGGTTCACTTACATAGACAGTTGACATGAGGTCAGGTGTGAACTGTTGTTTTTGTACTCCTTTTCTCAATGACTGCAAGGGTTTGGTCCAGAATTAATTTTAATGAGCCTATTTTCAGGTTTCTTGTTGTGACGTCTAATGTGGTGGTCTGCATTTGAAGCCGGTCTACTCCATGGATCATTGTACTGGACGTTCACAGATGCTCTCTTTTGCCATCCCTGGCTGTAATTAGTACCATGGTTCACTTACATAGACAGTTGACATGAGGTCAGGTGTGAACTGTTGTTTTTGTACTCCTTTTCTCAATGACTGATACAAATGACAAATACTCCAAACTAGTCCAACAGTTTCGGACCTTACCGTTTTACCAACGTAAAACGACTACCCTCACACTCTCTCTTGGACTATTCTTTCCAGTTTTTTGATCGTATTAAACTTCCGAGAGCTTGTTTTGGTTGCACAAAGAGAATATAACCATCTTAGCATTTTAATGGAGAGCTACTTCCATTTTATCTTCAATATTTCATGAGGATATAATATTTAGAGGAATACAGAACCCTGATCTCTGCTTTATCTTTCTGGTGGTAGAAGCCAAAGCAGCACATTCTTTCACAGGCATTAGCCTGAGGATGCACAGATTTTTTGAGAGGCTCTGATGAAGCCCCTTCTGTGCATCAGGAGGCAGGTGGAGGGTGAACGGGGGGGGATGGGGAGGCAGGCTCACAGGAGCATGTTGCTGGGGTGAACATATATTTCAGACCATAAATCACTGTGTGTGCAAATGATGGTGTTACCGCAGAACCATTATCAGCTGTTGCAAGGGAGCAAGAAAATGTAAATGAGAGATAGCAGAACACAACACAACAGTGGGAGGAGGAGTTCACCGTCCGACCTGCGTGTACATTAAATCTTAATGTGTGTGAGGGGGTGGTGGCACTGGCTCTCTGGAGTCTTGTGCTGATTTTTTTTTATGATGCTCAGACAACCATCATCCTGATCCATGACTTCCACTTTCAAAACCCTGGTGTGGTAGTGATCCCCAGAGAGCTGTTTACGGAAAAATGTTTAATTATCACTGTTAGGATTGGATGGATTTATCAGCACAATAACATTGTCAGTAAATTCTCTCAGATTTAAGTTCTTTCTCACAGATGTGCTACAGACAACGTTTAAATCAGGGATTTCAAACTCTGTGTTCAATATTTAGTGAAACAAATCTTATTCCTAATTGTCCACCTCAGGTATTTTAATAAAGGAAAAAAATATAATTGACATCTGTTGTCCATGGCCAGATGTGAAAACTTCTTGGGCTGCCAGTGGCCCCTGTGGCCAGGAGTTTGATACCACAACTTTAAATACTGCACTCTGTAAGTTCACTGACTAAATTGTGGTGAATACAAATATTAACTTATTCAAGAAACTATCTAATTTTTCACATTAACAAAAAAATCCATCTAGCTTTTGAGAATAGCAGTTGGTCCTTCATATATTAGATGGATACCAGCAGAACAGACATCAGAAATACATCCCTTCATCCCAGTGAGTATTACAGCACTCATCACTCTGCTCATTTAAAGTGACTAAAAGAACAAACATTGGAGCAAGAACTCCGAAATAATGTCCATTACCACAGTGTCTCTGACTTGATATAGAGACATACTTTATTTAAATGTCAAAGAATGGCATGGTCCTCAGTCAACACACTCAAGAAAATGTCAAAGAATGGCATGGTCCTCAGTGAACACACTCATTGTGTGAAGAAGTGAATTGAACAGTTCCACATTGATCATGGAGTCCAGTCTTTGTGAGACCTGAGAGAGAGACTCAGGGAAATGTGATTCACTGGTCTCTGTTCTGCAGTGCAGCTGCTGAAACAGCAGTTTGTCTAATTTGTCGGCCTGTGCTGCAGACAGACACTCTCGACTTTGGGCTCCTTGGTACATCAACTTCTTGTTTTAAACTTGCAAGACTAACTGCCCTCTTCATTTTGACCTAGGGTAATTTCTTTGGCTCTTCAATACCAGCAACTAAACAGTTAATAACTGCAGCGACCTAAAGCATGTTTACATGTTTTGGTCTGTAAGACACGATGAAAGGTCAAACTAGCTGCAGCTTTGCTAACCCATCACAATGTGCAGCCAAGGCATCAAGACGTTTGGACTAAAGTCTCTGGGGAACATCTGTCACTGGGAGAAATAGGGCAGTTCTGAAGGTGAAACTGGGTCGGACCTGAGACTAACCACATGTACTGAGTTAACAGGCCTGTCAGTGTAAATGTAATGTATATTTAATAATGAGTCATATGAGGAAAGATACCTGAAAACTTTTTCTATTTTACACCAAGGCTGTTGGATTTCCGTCTGACGTCAGCGGTAACAGCCGCATGTGTAGCAAACATGTCTGCTACAGACATTTTCTATGAAGTGTATGAAGAGGAAAAGATTTAAAAATACACCACCCAATACTGCATCACTGCTGGGCTTCTGCAGCTCTGTTAAAGCTCTATAGTAAACAGATCTCTTGTGCGCACTGGCTGAACTGCTTCACACTCATGGCTGTGATGACAGCGAGTTCACATGATGTGCTGTGTTAAAACAACCAAAATCAGAGCTAAAACTGTGTTTGTTACGGATGTGAATTAGTAAATGATAAAATTGAGTTTAATTGCTAAGACAATTCTTCTGTATTTTGTCATTTTCTCTGCAGGTTGAGCACTCCAAGTATCATGAAGACGTTTCCACAAGATACTTAGCCATCTGATGACTGATATTAAAACACAATGTGAAGATTCGATTTTTCAACCCCTGCGGTGCTGGCAAAGAACTTGAATGAGGCTGTTATGACAGAGGCGATTAATGATCAATAAAGTGCTCACAAGGGTGCCGTTTACTCAAGGCCGTTTCTAAAATGTGCGAACGTGCAGAGCCCTTCACTGTGGGAGCGTTAAGAAACAACAACCAGCAGGGGGCTGTGCTGGCTGATGGCGATGCTAACGCTAATGACATCCACGCAGAAAATGCTGGAGTGAGGGGTGACATGAGCACTCAGTCAGCAGCAATAAATGAAACAGCAGAACAGGATAAAATTATTATCTGGGGTACAGACTCCCAGTGTGACGACCCGGAGCTGGCTGAGTTTGAGATGCTGGAGTGTCAGGAGCTGGAGGCTTACCTGGTGGAGGACGGAAATGACTTTGTTGGCCTTGCAGAACGGAAGGAGCTGCTTGGACAGTCTTCCTCCTGCAGCAAAGCCACTGCAGATCATGTCCAAGATTGTAAGAGCTGTGAGAAGGAAACGAGTGTTTCTCTGGTCTCTGAGAGCAAAGAGGCGTCCAGGACGGAGTTAAACTCGGAAACAGACGTCTATGTATCTTGTCTGTCCACCATTTCCGGCAAGTCTCAAATAATAGACTCTTGGCAGATGACCACTGGCCCCTATTCTACAGCCTCAGAAGATCTGACACTTCCCTCTCAAACGTGTAAGGCTGATCACTCCCATCTCTCCTCTCCAAAAAACTCCAAAAAACAAAAAGAAGTCGACATTAATTTGAATTTAACCCCTGACGCAAAAGATGTTGTATTACAAGCACAAGTGAGTAATGGAGTTCTCTCCAAAACGATTGTTGGTGACGAGCACAGAAGAAACAATAACCAAAGAAATGAACCAGGCCGAGGGATTTTAGAGAGGAATGGTGATCAAGGAAGAAGTCAGCACAAGGATTTACCAAGAAGCAAATTATCACATGAAGAGAGCGGTACCAAAATGGACAAAAGCACACAGGCTGACGAGCACCCTGAGTTAAATAACACCCCAGTCGCAACAGGTACGAGGGAGAATCAGCCGTTGAGTCAAAACAGAGCCATAAAGAAACAAGGATCCTTTGATAACACATTCAAAAAACAAAACTCTTTTGACAGGTCTTCTAAGAAGCAGCCGTCATTTGAGAACGGTTTTAAGAAGCAGCTCTCCTTTGATAACAGTTTAAAAAAACAGGACCCTTCTCAGAAAACCGTCAACTCCAACTCTTCAAGCTTAGAACGGAGAAAGCCATGGGGAAGCCCCAGTCGGTCAGCAAGTTCACTTTCCTCAAAAACCGCATCCAGTTCACCCAAGCGACGACCACCTGCATCACCAGCCAAGGTTCAAGGAGTGAGGGCGCTGAGCCTGGAGCGCAGCAGTTCTCCCCAGACAGGTTTAAGTCACGCAGGGAAGTCGCCGGGAAAGATGTCATCCAGTAGTGGCATTCCCAAACCTGTCATACCTCAGCACAAGGAACCAGAACCAAGCAGGTCTTCTTCTCCCCAAAGGCCGAAAAATGTCAGACCAAAAATAATCACCTACGTTCGGGCAAATCAAGCGAAACCGCAGGTCACGGATTCACCACATGAAGCTTTGACGAGATCATCCTCTCACTCCAGTCCACCAGCTCCGAAAGATTCAAAGGTCGCTCCCAAACCAAAATCTACACCAGTGCTTTGTTCCTCCAACCTGCTGTTTGACAAATATCGACAGGAGATGCAGAAGACTGGACACTGTCCTCCAGGAACAACTGGAGGGTGCAAGCCTTCGACTGGCACCGTCGCTCAGAGGTTGACAGCAAAGTCGGGCAGCTTCCATGAAGATGGACCGGAGAAACATTACAAAGAGGTGAGATATTTATAACCTAAGACATTGACGTCTATGTTTAGTTAATTAAATTAAACATCTGTCAATTGGAAGAGAAATGACTTTAAATGTTAACTACTCAGTGACTAGCAAACCCGTGAGACGGTACAAAGATAAAGGTAATCTCTGGGAGATCTACGATTCAGGTAACGCTGTAAAACTGACTAGAGTTTTTTTTTTGGTGATGTCTTTTAGCAGCAAAGTTCCCAGGAAGGAGGCAACGTCTACTGTTCGCCTAAAACTCTGAGGCCTCAGCTGGGGTTAGCAGCCGTCAACAGGCAGCCTGCAGCCAAGTCAAGAGTCCCGCAAATGGGCCAAAGACCGAACCAGGCTCCATACCAGTCTAGTCAGGCAGCTGCTGTGTCCAACCAAGCGGGTGAGACGGAGGGGATTTAAACAGAAATAACACGATACAGTATCTTAGTATACGGTTCAATAAGATAGATACCAACAATACAATGTGAGAAGATACAATTTAATGTAATTTGTTCAAATAATACATGATAATGTGATGTAAAAAATCATTTTGGAAGTTCAGTCAGAATATAATTTTTTCTAATTCTTTGTTGTTCCATTACACCTTCCTTCTCTTCCTGTAACCAAAAACCCTCTCCACACCTCAGTGACTCTTTGTCATTAGGCCTTATATTATTTACTTTCTGTCTTCAATGATAATTGTTTACATCAGTGTTAGTCTGTGTTCGTGTGGCCCATTTAGAATGGATGGAGCTGAAATGGGCCCATTGTGTATGTGCTCTTAGTATTATTTTGCTATCTTTGATGGTTAATACTGTGTAGGAAATTGCAGGAACTTAGCTTCTGTCTACTGGTTTTACTATTTACTTTAAGACTTAAAACAACTTCATCCTTTTAATTGAATGTGTGTATTTTTCTTAATCTAAAAGAGTTTGTATGGTTTTCTATTGAAATGTATTGAAAGATATAATGAAATATATATTATACAGAAGCATATAGAAAAAATAAATATAAGATATATTATTATGATGTCTTTATGACACAAAACCCTTTCTGTCTACGTCCAGTAGAGCA